TTTTTAAGACTAAATACCTACTTATATGAAACAAGTAATTTTTAGCATAAAAAAAAACCGACTTCAACTCTCATATAAAAAAAAAAAAATATATATATATATGTTGAAATAGTAAGCTAAAATATTAGTCTGGCAACATTGTAACTTGTAGATTTGTAGCCTTAAGAATTTTGATGTATATACAATTGAGGTTAGTCCTTATTAAACCAGCAAGCGAGTAACACTGTGTTTCATTTATACGGAACTTTGCAACAATGGTTATGGGCCCAGCGCCCTGGTGAAATAATTTGTGATTAATAAAACCATCCGTGCGGGAAGCTGTTTAAAGACAAGAACGCTACAAAATTAAAAAAATGAGTGTGCACCTGCAAATAGAAAAACTTGGGGAGGACAATTATGACGTGTGGTCTGTGTCCGTTCGAAGTGTCCTCATAACGACAGATTTATGGAATGTCGTATGCGGAAAATATGTGAAGGCAGAAGGAGCCACCCCTGAAGAAGTGCAAAAGTGGGAAACGGCTGACCAAAAGGCGTTGGCATGTTTAATTTTAAATATTAAACCGACGCAGTTGATGCACATAAAGACGTGCACAACCGCTGCAGAGGCATGGCAAAAGTTGCGCGACATTCATTTGCCAGTTGGTCCGGTGAAAAAAGTTCAGCAGTATCAAAAACTGTTACGTTTAAACATGCAGCACGGCGAAAATGTAGTTCGGTATGTGAGTGAGTTTGTCGCAACAGTCGACAAATTAGCCGAATTAGAAATTCAAATAAACGACGAACTAAAAGTAGTTATGTTGCTTTCCAGCCTTCCCAATTCGTGGGAAAACTTCGTTGTCGCGATTGAGACGCGCGACAGGCTGCCGACGTTCGAAATAGTCAAAGCGAAAATATTAGAAGAAGGAGCACGTAGACAAGAAAAAGATGATCGCGAATGCACGCAAGCTGTTTACACACACACAAATAAATTCGCAGCGCAAAAGCAATACGATTGTCGCAGCATAAACGACGGACAGAGCGATTCCAAAGTAAAACAGAAGAAGGAGCAAGACATACAGCGTTTTAAAGGGAAATGTTTTAATTGCCAGAAAACAGGTCATCGTGCAAGTGAGTGTAGAAACAAGAAAAAGGGTGTAAAGACAGAAATGCGAAGTGAAACAGAAGAATCTTCAAATCATCTGATGTACGGAGGCAGCGATACTAAACAGAAAAAGGACAAATGGTGCATTGATAGTGGCGCTACCTCACATATGTGTTGTGACAAAACTTTGTTTACATCTTTCACTGAGAAAGATACGCGTGTCATGTTGGCTGCCGAGACGTTTATTGAATCGCCCGGTATAGGTTCAGTAGTGCTAAAAAGAGAAAACAGTAAAATTTTGTTACGCGATGTTTTGTTTGTCCCATCTTTGCTTATGAATTTTCTATCAGTGAGCAAAGCAGCACAGTATGGGAATACGACAACATTCAAAAACAACGTTGCAATAGTAAAAAATAAACAACAAGAAGTAGTGCTGCAGGCAGAGAGACTGAATAATTTGTATTTGTACTATGATAAAAAGCAAACTAGTGCTGTTTATTTATTAAATGATTGCTCATTAGCAGAAAAGTGGCATAATCGCTATGGCCACCTAAATATGCAAAATTTAAAGCAATTAAATGACAGTGATCTTGTGCGCGGTATGAATGTGAACAATATGCCAACGAAAATAAACTGCGATACATGCAGTCAGGCAAAAATATGTGCTTTGCCTTTCCCGCAAAGAAATGTACGAACCGCGAATGGAGTGCTAGAGCTAGTGCATTCAGATGTATGTGGCCCCATGAACATAAAATCGTTAGGCGGCAATAGATACTTCGTCACGTTCATTGACGATTTTTCTCGCAAAATTTTTGTTTATTTTATGCAAAGTAAAAATGAAGTTCTAGAGAAATTTAAATCATTTAAAGCTTATGTCGAGTGCCAAACGAGCCGCAAAATTAAATCTTTGCGCAGTGATAACGGCAAAGAATATGTAAACAATGAATTTAATGATTTTTTAGTAAAATGCGGTATTAAAAGACAATTAACCGTGCCGTATACCCCCCAGCAAAACGGTGTTTCTGAGCGGGCTAACCGCACTATTGTAGAAATGGCAAAAAGTTTGCTTATACATGCAAAGCTAGAAGAGTTTTTGTGGGCGGAGGCGGTTCAAACTGCCGTGTACTTGCGTAACCGGTGTCCAACGCAGGCACTCGATGGGAAGACTCCATTTGAGGTGTGGAAGGGACGAAAACCTTCAGTTAAACATTTGCGAATTTTTGGGTCACGAGCCTTTGCGCTAGACAAGACAGTTAAAAACAAATTTATGGCAAAAGGTAAGGAGTTCATATTTGTGGGTTACTCCTGTACAGCGAAGGCGTATCGGTTATATGATCGCCAAAAACGTGGAATCATCGAGCGGCGTGACGTTAGGTTTATAGAAGGTGAATTTGGTGCGCGTATTACTACTGAGCATGAGTCTTCAGATCGAAACGACGACTTTACAACAAACATCATTCGCCTTGAGTCTTATGAAGCTCGAGAAACAGAGCGCTCGCCATCCAATGATGCCATGGTTGAGGTTGAACAACGTGCAAGCTACGACTCCGGCGATGAGGAGGAGGAGTTTGCCACCGCCAGTAGTTCCGAAGAAGAGAACAACGAGCAAGAAGATCAACGTGAAGCAGGTATGTCGCATTCCGAACAAGCAAATGTAACGCGGCGTGGGCCAGGTAGGCCAAAACAACTCCGCACAGGTCAACCGGGTAGACCTAAAAAGCAATATAATTTAGTAAATAGTTTGAATTACATCGAAGATTTAGAAACACCACAAACTGCAGCAGAGGCATTGAGCGGCCAACACGCGCAAGAGTGGCAAAAATCAATGCAAACCGAGTATGACGCACTTATTGCAAATGGTACGTGGTCATTGGTTGAGTTACCTGAAGGGCATAAAGCCATTGGTTCCAAATGGGTGTTTCGCATCAAGCGGAATGTCAACGGCGATATCGAGCGATTTAAATCTAGACTAGTTGCCAAGGGTTGTGGGCAGCAGTTGGGAGTCAATTACTGGGAAACGTTTTCCCCAGTAATTCGCTATGAGACTATACGAATGCTATTTGCTATTGCTGCAGAAAAACAGCTACATATGCATCAAGTTGACATCTCCAACGCATACCTAAACAGCAAGCTTCATGAAGACGTTTACATGAAGCAACCGGAAAACTTTGTGAACAAGAAGCATCCGAGTAAAGTTCTAAAACTACGAAAGGCAATATACGGGCTAAAACAATCCGGCCGCGTATGGAACAACACACTCGACGAAGTTTTGAAAGACATCGGCTTTAACAGGTGCAAGAACGAGCCCTGCTTATACGTTAGTCAGCATCAGCAGCAGTATAACTATATTGCGGTTTACGTGGACGACTTAATCATCATGAGTCCTAGTGAAACCCATATAGCAACAATCAAGAAGAAGATCGCGTCGAAATTCCAAATGCAAGATGGCGGTGCTATACGATACTTCCTTGGTTTGGAAGTGCAGCGAGAGGGTGACAGGGGCGCAATTTACTTGTCACAGAAGAAGTACATAAAATCCGTTCTTGATACGTATGGCATGCAAAACTGTAGAGCAGTCGCTACTCCACTCGACCCAGGTTTCCAAGTCGGCTGTCAAGACGAAACATGTTCCAAGGTAAATATAAAAGAATACCAATCCTTAATCGGTTCTCTTATGTACCTAGCAGTGCTAAGTCGGCCTGATATTCTACACGCTGTGAGCAAGCTGTCTCAGCGCAATACTAATCCACATGCTGAGCATGAAACCGCAGCAAAACACGTTTTGAGATATCTATCTAGTACGGTAGATTTGAGCATCGTATATCGAAAATCTGATGAGCCCGTGAAGGGATTTGCCGACGCAGATTGGGCCAATGACCCCAACGACAGGAAGTCATATTCTGGTTACGCATTTTATTTGGGAAGCAGCGCTTTCTCATGGGCTTCCACAAAACAGAGCGTAACAGCATTGAGTAGCACCGAGGCTGAATACGTAGCCTTGTCAACGGCCACCAAAGAGGCAGTCTATTTAAGCCGATTACTGGCTGAGATTGGGTGGTCCAGTACAAACCCCATGATACTATATGGCGACAACATTAGTGCGCAACATATTGCACGGAACCCCATCCATCATAAGCGTACTAAACATATTGATATAAAATATCATTTTATACGAGAAAAAGTAGAGTCAAATGAAATTAAATTAGAATATGTTTCGACTGATAAAAATGTTGCCGACATTTTAACTAAAAGCCTTAGTAAACAAAAACATTGTAACTTTGTTAAATTACTTGGATTAAAATAATGGTTGTAAAAGAAAATATATCAGCTTAAGAAGAAGTGTTGAAATAGTAAGCTAAAATATTAGTCTGGCAACATTGTAACTTGTAGATTTGTAGCCTTAAGAATTTTGATGTATATACAATTGAGGTTAGTCCTTATTAAACCAGCAAGCGAGTAACACTGTGTTTCATTTATACGGAACTTTGCAACAATATATCTCACGATCCACTGATCGGATCTTAACCAGATTAGTATGGGACCACCTCTGAGACACTACCTTTCCGATGCAAAAAGAATTATCGAAATCGGTTGACGTGGTCCAAACTTATGCGGTAACATACATAAAAAAAAAAAAAAAAAAGATTCCGACGAACTGATAACCTCCTCCTTTTTTGGAAGTCGGTTAAAAAATAAGACCTAAACACCGTAACCATCTGGCCGGTCAGCATATAAAAGAATTGGTTCTAATAAAACGGAGCCCAGGTATTATACAAATGAGTTTTCCTAATTTAAGTTTTTTTAAATTATACAAGTACT